CCAACCTCATCCGAGTGGGTAGCACTTCTTAAGATACCAGCTATGGGTAAATAGTGATTCTCCCAAACAAAAACATAACTCCATGAAAGTATAAAAATACATTTTCATTGTAAAAATACCATGAATAAACTTTTATACAAAAAATTACCAACAATATATATTTTAGTCCAATTACCAACAATACACTTTTATAGCAAAATGGCCAACAATACATTCTATAGTAGAATTAGCAACAATATATTTTATAGTAAAATGTACAGTAGTACATTTTATAGTAAAATGACCAACGATACATTTTATAGTAGAATTACCAACAATACATTTTATAGCCAAATGACCAACAATACATTTTCTGTAGTTGAAGCCATAAAATTATGTTCAAAATATTTAGATTTTGGTATTAAATAGGTTGATATGCCGCTAATTAACACTAAGCTCTTCTCTAAGTATTATTATTATTATTATTATTATTATTATTATTTAGATTGGCAAGGCACCGCAGTCGATGAGAATCTGGTCGATGCCCTGTTGTTTCGGGTAAGGCGTATCGGTCATGGTTACGCCATTTTAAAGCATCCCGCCATTTTGGAACTAGCTCGACTCAAAAAGATCCCCATTGAAGTGTGTCCAATTTCAAATCAGGTAAATAGTTTCAAGTTCCAAATGTTGACTTTTAATTTTTTGTACTTAATTACATGTAGGTAAATGGAAAAAATCCGCATATAAATATATTTGGTTTGGTTTATTTTCTTTTACGACATATCAACCTCAATGGGTTATTTAATGAACAGAAGATTTTTAGGATGGGTTCATATGAATAGAATATATATATTTTTTGCAAGAAATCAGTTTGTAGATCAGGTTATAGGTTTATTTTGTTTTACAGTATATCAACCTCAATTGATTATTTAATGCCGGGAATATTTTTAGGATAGGTTCGTATGAATAGAATATGTATTCTTTGTAAGAAATCAGTTTGTAGATCAGTGTTTGAATTTATTTTGGTTTACGGCAGATCAGCCTCAATAGTTTATTTAATGCCCAACAGAAATCAGTTTGTAGATCAAATTTTATTGAGATGTTTTTGTAAAGAGGGTTTTTGTTAAGAGCTATATGTATTGCTAATAATTTTTTTTTTTCAAAAATACATTGCTTGTATTTTTAGTATAAAAATTTATTTTTATACTTTCATAATGTTTTGATTCCAGTTTGAGGCTTAACTATTTGTCCATAGCCGGGACCCTAACAGGTAATACCACCCCAGGTAATGTGGACCTGGGAACAACACCAATTAAGAAGTGGTTCCACGCTCCTCAAAACTTCCCGATCTGAAACGAGCTGCCAGGTGTAGTTTATCGTCATACACAAGACGTATAAATATATTTACATAAGCTTGTCCATTAATCATTCTAAGCGATTCCTTTCTGCTTTTCATCAGCATGGCTGATGCTAACCGCAAGGACAATGACTCGTTGCGTCTTCTCGGGCTCACATTCTCGGCTGACATGAAGTGAAAAGACTCTATTGAATCCATTGCTAGATCAACTGCTAAGAAACAATGTATCTTGCATAACTATAAGTCTGTCATTCGTCCATGTCTCGAATATTGCTGCCGCATCTGGTCTGCTGCTCCTGCGCCATGGAAATATATTACAATTTTTACGTAATAAAGGTTTAGCCCTGTTTTTTTTATTAGTCCTTACAACGATAACATTGCAAACAGACGCACACACACATACACACTCACACAAACATATGAATCTACGTTCGAAGAAAGACCCCAAAGCTACACACCCTTACGCCAAGGGAATATATTATAATTTTACATATTAAAGGTTTACTCTCGGGTCGTTATTAGTCTTCACAACGATTACGTCGCACGCGCACACACACACACACACACACACACACACACACACACACACACACACACATAGAGCCACGTTCGAAGAAAGATCCCAAAGCCACACACCCTTAATCATATTGAATACATTACAATTTTACGTATTAAACATTTAGCCTCGTGTTCTTATTAGTCTTTACAAGGATAACATTGCACACACACACACACATACACACACACACACAAACACAAACACACACAGATACACGTTTGAAGAAAGATCCCAAAGCCACACACCCTTACTCATAGGGAATACATTGCAATTATACGTATTAAACATTTAGCCTCGTGTTCTTATTAGTCTTTACAACGATAACATTGCACACACAGGCATACACACATAGATCCACGTTCGAAGAAAAACCCTAAGGCCACACGCCCTTAAGCAACGGTAATATATTACAATTTTACGTATTAAATATTTAGTCTCGTGTTCTTATTAGTCTTTACAACGATAAATTTGCACACACACACACACATAGATACACGTTCGAAGAAAGACCCCAAAGTCACACACCCTTACTCATAGGGAATACATTACATTTTTACGTATTAAACATTTAGTCTCGTGTTTTTATTAGTCTTTACAACGATAGCATTTCACACACAGACATACACTCATAGATCCACGTTCGAAGAAAGTCCCTAAGGCCATACACCCTTACGCCAGGGTAATATATTACAATTTTACTTATTAAACATTTAGTCTCGTGTTCTTATTAGTCTTTACAATGATAACATTGCACACACACACACACACACACACACACACACACACACACACACACACACATAGATACATGTTCGAAGAAAGACCCAAAGCCACACAGTCACACACCCTGACGCCAAGAGAATATAATTTTAAGCATGAATAGAATAGGTATTCTATATGTTTTATGTCATATCAACACCTCAATGGGTTATTTAATGTCGAGAAGATTTTTAGGATAGGTTCGTATGAATAGAATATGTATTATTTGTAAGAAATAAATTTGTAGATCAGGGTTTGGATTTATTTTGTTTTACGGCATATCAACACCTCAATGGGTTATTTAATGCCAACAAGATTTTAGGATAGGTTCGTATAAATAGAATATGCATTCTTTATAAGAAATCAGTTTGTTGATCAAATTTTATTGAGGTATTTTTGTAAAGAGGGTTTTTGTCGAGAGTTAAATGTATTTCTGGTATTTTTTTTTTCAAAAATGTATTGCTGGCAATATTTTGGCCTTAGGGTGTGTGACCATGTGGCCAAGAGAATATATTATACTTTGAAGCATGAAAGATTTCATCTAGTCTCATTAATTTTCTCAGCGATATACAATGTTTTAGGTTACGAATAACGATTGGAGAACGTGTCTTGCTCATTTGTCACATTCTGCGTCTATGCACTTCAATAGACGTGGAAGTTTTAGTATAGGAACTACAAAGAAGCTTCATAATGTTATAGACAAGCGTATGTTTGCAAGAAAGAAATACGACAACAGCAGAAATAGATTTACGTGGTTTATTTCAACAGGAACGTGTGGGTTTGGGACAGCTACCTTGTGGTACAGTTCATAAGCCGGCTTCGGATCTAGGTAGATCTCTCATAGTAGTCATACATGTTGACGGTGGTTGATGCTCCCCTGTTGTCAGCTGCTGAACGCTCGTCCTGACCGTGACAGGTCTCTTCCCTGGCCACCTGTTGAATGCCTGTTGAACTTCCGTGTGACCCCTTTTATAGCGTTTTTTTATGGCTTAACAGGCTCGAAAAACGAAGCGAGTATAATTAGGAGGGAAGCATTTTTATTGGACGAAAAATAGAACACTTTAAATATTATTTTATTTTTCGACCGGAACACGTGTGTCGGGAATATTTGTAAAAGGAAGATAATGGTCATTTTGTGACGGGGTTTTGTCCCGTTCACATCCGGCTCTCGCTCTTGAGTATTTGCCTGTAAATCAGCCGAGATATGTCTTATTTTATTTTATAACAATAACAAATATTTTACTAACTTCATTTTTGAGTTCTCTAGATTTTAGGTTTACTGAATGACCTAAGGAACCACCCTGCTTCTGCTTTGATAGCGAGTAACTTCCCAGTTGTTATCAGCAGTGATGATCCGGCTTCATGGGGGTCTACAGGCCTTTCACACGATATGTACGTCGCTTTTATGGCACTTGCCGGTGTACGCGATGATCTTAGGTTGCTCAAGCAGCTAGCCCTGAATTCTATAAGGTAAGTAGCAGTTTAAAGATTGTAGGCACTCGGTCAGCTCATAATTTTGAAAGGGCTCAGTTGTCTTGCATAAAGTTGAAATCCAACAGACACAAGATTCCTTTAAGAACAACAGGCATATAGGTGTTATAAATCTTACGTTATAAAATAACCGGAAAATTGTAAATCGTTCTTTAATCTTCTCCAAAATACAGAACTCCAAGAGAGCAACACTCTGCGCTTTCATGGGCTCAAGTTTTCCACTGAAGTGGAACGATTATATTAAATGAATTGCTCGATCTACTGCTAGGAAATTTAGATCACTGCCTCGTATCAGACACATTTTTCGTCAGAACCCATCTTACATATTTATAAATCTACCATTCATCCATGCATTGAATATTACCGCTATATCAGGTCTCTTACCCCGGCTATATATCTCGCGATTTTGAACAAAATCCAAAGAAGGGTCTGTAATATAATCGATTCTGACCAGGCATCTCTACTGCGGCCAATTTCCTGCCGACGTGATGTGACTTCCCTCTGTCTTTTCTATAAATGTATCCATACCAGTTGTTCTAATGGTCTTTCCCGCATGGTACCTCGACCACATGAATTTAAATTTACTACTAGATTATCAGCTAGGTATCATTGTTTTTGTTGTAACCTAGGGAAGGTTACTGAATAGAATAATCAAACGAAGGTTGGTAATGAACGATAATATTTAGGACAAGAACAACACGTATAAGATTCGCCAGCGGCGCGTAGAAGAAGTAGTCAACTGCTAGAAGTGAGTCAAGTGAATTCCACAATGAATCTCTAATTGCAGACCAACATACAGTATTCACTGCTGTATTTATGTGAATGGAGACATACCCATTGTAGTCCGTAGGTATGCTACAACAGATAGATAGATAGATAGATAGATAGATAGATAGATAGATAGATAGATAGATAGATAATGAACAGACTGAGAGAGATAGACAGATAACAAACACATCGAGGCAGATAAAGAACAGTTCGAGATAGATAGATAAGGAACAGACTGTGTTACATAGTGTTCTAATCTAGGGAAGGTTACTGAATAGAATAATCACATGAAGGTTGGTAATAAATGATAATACTTAGGACAAGAACAACACATATAAGATTTGCCAGCGGCGCGTAGGATAAGTAGTCAACTGCTAGAAGTGAGTCAAGTGAATTACACAATGAACCCCAATTGCAGACCAACATACAGTATTCACTACTGTATTTACGTGAATGTGGACATACCCATTGTAGTCTGTAGGTATGCTACAACAGATAGATAGATAGATAGATAGATAGATAGATAGATAGATAGATAATGAACAAACTGAGATGGATAGAGAGATAATGAACAGACTGAGATAGATAGATAGATAGATAGATAGATAGATAGATAGATAGATAACGAACACACCGAGGCAGATAACGAACAGTCCGAGACAGATAGATAAGGAACAGACTGTGTTATATAGTGTTCTAATCTAGGGAAGGTTACTGAATAGAATAATCATATGAAGGTTGGTAATAAATGATAATACTTAGGACAAGAAGAACACATATAAGATTTGCTAGCGGCGTGTAGAAGAAGTAGTCAACTGCTAGAAGTGAATTTCACAATGAATCTTCAATTGCAGACCAACATACAGTATTCACTACTGTATTTATGTGAATGTGGACATACCCATTGTAGTCCGTAGGTATGTTACAACAGTTTTACTGTTAAAATAGATAGATATAAACGTAAGCTCTAATCTAATAATTTTTTTATTACGCTTCCCGCCAATGGAATTCTTTTCAGAATTCTTGCTTTCCTGGAAACTACAATCAGCAAAATAAATTAATTTAACTCCAATCACCGGCTGTTGATGTGTCAGAAATGATGCCTATTATGCCAAAACATAAATTTATGTGGTTCTAGAATTAGTAACAACACTGATTGGGCTCCAGGCAGTTTAAATTATAAAAAAAATTCACAAAAAATTATCATCACGTAGTTTGTTGACACAACTACCAATAAATCTTAGCAATCCACCACTGGTGGCATTAATCGATATTAGATGTAAAAAATCAACCGGCAAACATTATTTTACGTTACTGTAGATTACTTTAGTGAAGTAGAGTTTGAGTGGCCATGTGATTCACCACAATACATTGGTTACCTACCGGCTTTTGATGAGTCAGAAATGATGCTTACTATGCCAAAAGATAAATTTATGCTTAGCCAATGGCCACAAGGTTTACGTAAGCGAGCAGATGGCAAGTATCGTTACACTCGTTAATTTTCTCCTTTTTCTATATTGTTGTACAGGCCACAGATACGCAGCTGTATACAGAGTATATCCTTGGATAACTGAAGCTTAATTTACATGCTTAGGTGATGGCATCTTGCGAGGCATTAAAGATATTAGCGTATTTCTAGAAAAAGAAGAGACTGACGAATATAAAAACGGACAAAGATTGCTTCGCTTTTTGGCATCACGAAAAGGATTAATCGTCTTCCACGAGGCTGGTGAAAATCTAGATCCAGACAGAGAGTGGAATGGATTTAACCACTTACATCTCGTTTGGCGGTGTGAAGTTAAGAAGCTACCACGTACTGATAGTATATGGCAAGTTGTTGTATGAGATAACCCAACTTCCCCATTCACGATAATGGACGGACTGGTTGCCGATAAAGTACGACCACAGCGGACAGTGAGAAAAAAGGTCTTCGTTTGTTAACACCTATTGAGGTTAGCATACTCCTGACTCTGTCTCTGTATTTTGACATACCTACATCCGATTATAAAATTATTATTGAAAAACCAACACTCGGCTTTACTTTGTTTATTATATCTTGCACGAGATATAACACAAGTGATTACATCTGAATACGTAAAAGTGACTGGTTATTAATGAAAAATGACTGAAATCAGGGTCAAGTACCCGGCAGCACTAGCTGACTACTACTGCAAAAAGCCTAGACAACTACTGGTAAAGTAGACCGACGAAATGGTGTACTAGTTTAACAACTAGTGTTCAGAAGAGTTGGTCAGCCAACATCAAAAAACTACTGGAATGAACACAAAGAAGAAGAACTTAAATTTCAGAGTTCGAAAGGAAAAACTATGAAACTCTTTAATTAACTTTGAACAGAATTTTGGATCAATAAACTAAACAACGACAACTTTCTACAAGCTTTAGCTCATCCTCATTTTAACACTATTTTATCTAAAGTAGCTGAAACGAGTAAAATGGAACATTTAAATAAGCCTTTCTCGGAGAAATTGGCTAACATCGACTGATCGAAATACGACCACGATACAAGTTTTCACAGTGTGTCTATTCAAAATATCGACATAGAAGATTTTGTGAGAGACGTGTACAACATCATCAGCAAAAAAATTTCCTAAAGTCAACACATTCGTCATGGAAGGGGTGCCAAGCAGTGGCAAGTGTTATATAGCTTGAAGCATTGCTAAACTGTTCAGATACATACAGACAATTCAAGGTACAACAACTTTTCCGTTTCAAGATATGTACAATTGTGAGTTATGTTTATTTGAAGAACCAAACATGACTCTAGAAACTCTTCAAACATTTTTAAAAAAAAATAAGTGAAGGTGCTGAGACTAGTGTCGCTGTAAAAATCAGACCAAGCGTATTAGTTAAAAGAACACCAGTGATAATTACTTCCAACTATGTGTTCGACATACTTCCTCCGAGAGATGAAAAAGAGGCTTTCAAAGCCAGATATATCATACTTATTATAAAATCCAGGTTGTGTGTGTGTGTGTGTGTGTGTGTGTGTGTACGTTTATATATTGGATCGGATTTCCTACATTTTTCAACCGATTACAACAAAACTTCACAGGATTACGTAAAATTACTTTGCGGTGGTTCTGACAAAAATTGGAAAAACACAATTGTTTTTGCACAAAATCAATTTGAAAGCACGATTAAGAGGCATCGCGAGAATGAAAGGGGAACAACTCATATCGAGTTATACTTATAAAACCCAGGTTGTTTGTGTGTGTGTGTGTGTGTGTGTGTGTTCGTTTATATATGGGATCGGATGTCCTACATTTTTCAACCGATTTCAATAAAACTTCACTGGGGGGGGGCAGGTAGTGTTTCTTATTGTCTTGCACACTTTTTTCTTTATTTTTACATTCAGAATGCTTTAAAATTCCATTTACAAGACAATTGTTTATAATAAAATTCTATTCAATCGGTAGACTCATAACGATTGAAAACAATGTTTTTGTTTGAGTTTGGGTTCGACCAATTCGTAAAAACAAAAAAAAAAATAACTGAGACATGCGTGTCCGTCAACCTTAAACGATAATCTCTGTCAATTTTATTTTTCAGTCTTTATGATGGTCGATACTTGATCTATCTCTTACTGTTACATCCCCGGGCAACGCCGGGCTCTACTGCTAGTCAAATATAAATTTATAAATCCAACTCAATTTTTGGCAAAAGCTAAAAACCTACTCAATCCGGGTATATAGCAGAATTTGTTTAACCAGTATGCTATGCAAAATTATGAATTGAATTCTGAGGGAGAAGAAGAGTTAATTGCGGCTATAGAGGTAATAGAAGGAAAAGTACCCGACATCAGAGAGGCAGATACTCCTATGTTGGAGGAAGAAGTAGATGATGATGATAACACCGACGGGTTTTTTTAAACATTTCTCCACATATGAACAAAATCAAGAACAGCGACGATTCAATCAACATCAATGTACCAAGGGTACCGACAAAGAAGAGAAAAGTGACTGAAACCATTGAACAAGAAAAAATAGAGTGTGGACTAATATCAACGGACATCTCAATGATGTGAAAAGGCGAAGCGGTAAAAAAAAAAACTAAAATTTTAAAAATTGAATTTCTTTTTCTTATGGACAATCAGTTGCATGGTAATAAGTTTAATAATTGGATATATTGTGATGAAGTAGTAAAAGATTTTTGGTCTAACTATAATAGTCATTGAATTACTGTTGCAACTTTAAATTGTAATTAAAATAAAATTTAAAAAAATAAATTTAATGTTTATTAAAAACAAGTCGATATCACTGGAGTAGCTCTGGGGTTGCAGAACTGGCGGACCGCAACTCCACTGGTGGTGCACCTGTTTCTATCTTACCATGCACCATACGCACCTATGCTCCTGGTCGAATGTTTAACATGACATCAGGTATAACATATGAGCAGGAGCACATGGAACATGGTAAGATAGATACATCTCTCGGAGCAAGTATGTCGAACGCATACACTTAATAAAATTAGAAAATGAAAAATTAAATTTAATGTTTATTAAAGACAACAAGTCGCTATCACAGGAGTAGCTCCGGAGCTGCAGAGCAGTCGAACCGCAACTCCGCTGGTAGTGGACCTGCTATTATCTTACTATGGACCATACGCACCTATGCTCCTGGTCAAATGTTTAACATGACATCAGGTATAGCATATGAGCAGGAGCACATGGAACATGGTAAGATAGATACATCTCTCGGAGCAAGTATGTCGAAGGCATACAGTTAATAAAATTAAATTAAATTCTTATTACAGACAACAAGTCGCTACCACTGCAGTAGATCCGGGGCTGCAGAGCAGTCGGACCGCAACTCGGCTGGTGGTACACCTGTTTCTATGTTACCATGCTCCACACGCTCCAATGCTCCTAGTCATATGCTTAACCTGACGTCAGGAATAGCATATGACCAGGATCATATGCAGCATGGTAAGATAGAAACATCTCTCGGAGCAAGTATGTCGAAGGCATACAGTTAATAAAATTAAAAAAAGGAAAATTTAATTTAATTTTTTATTAGACACCAATTTAATATCACTGGAGTAGCTACGGTTGCAGAGCTTGCGGACCGCTACTCCGCTCGTGATGAACCTGTTTCTATGTTACCATGCTCCATATGCTCTAATGCTCCGGTCATATGCTTTAAGTATTGCATTAATATTTCAGCTTAACTTTTACAATTATTATATATACCAGCTTAAAAGCCATCCTATCAGGTGGCATTTAAACTACTTCCTGCGGATAGCTCTTTATTGGGCCTTCATCACAATAGGTAGGAAGGTGTAGATGCGATAGGTAACAATAAACTATAGAAGATCTCAAAATTGATCACTGCATTTAAGTATTGCATTAATATTTAAACTTACCGTTTACATTTATAATATATATATATATATATATATATATATATATATATATATATATATATATACCAGCTTAAAAGCCATCCTATCTGGTGGCATTTAAACTACTTCCTGTGGATGGTTCTTTATTGGGCCGTCATCACAATAGGTAGGAAGGAGTAGATGCGATAGGTAACAATAAACTACCGAAGAACTTAAAATTTATTGCTGCATTTAAATATTGCATTAATAATTAAACTTACCTTTTAAAGTTCAATTCTTCTGTCGTTACTCAATTTAAAGACAATTTGATGTACTCAGGTCCTTACTTTCCATACAAACAATTATTTTTATTTCATTTGTGACTTTCGCAATTAATTTCGATTATTCCCAAATTTATTTTCAAGTTATAAAAATTGTTATCGTATAAAATTTCGTCGCAAAAAAAATCACGTAAACAGATCCCCGCAAAACAATTCCAATGATAAAAACTTGGGAATGCAAGATTCCAGGATTGCGAGTCCGGTTCCGACCCGGAAATTATTTAATTTGCTCACGGGCTCGGTCTGTTTCCAAAATTGTATGAGTTGTTGGGCTATGGCCTCTAGTAGTCAAGTTGAAACAGTGTGACACAGTGATATACTGACATTCGCATTTATTATATAGATTTTATAAGAATTCCTGCGTTTGCAAAAGTGTTGATCATTTAACTTTAATTTGGTAAATTTGTAACACACATTTTTTTCATTTTTAGGTTCAGTTCTTTGCCACGGTCTCAAAAACAAAAATTGCAAAGCGCTTGGACTACAAAATGGCGGCATTTCATCGAAAACGAGGCTTCATCAGCAAGCGTTAACCTTCATCACTAAAATGTGTTAACAAGGAAACAATTTTTTTTTTTTAATTTAGAGATATTTTCTTATATTATTACTTATATTAGTGAATAGAATTTTAGTTACTCAAGCTTCATTTGCTGTATTTATTCTTGTATAATGCGCCCTTTCTGTAGGTCAAAAATATTTTCGCGTATGATTGCAGCGATTTTTTTTCTCCTGCGTAAAATGGTCTCACGGCATATTTTTTTTTAAATCAATAAATGAATAATTTAAATAAATAATTCTAAAAATTAATTAAATATAAAGATTAACAGTAACATTATAAGATAATGAAAAAATACATATTAATAAATCAAATATTAAACAAAAACGTCTTTGTTTCCTTTTTTCCAGTGTAATTATTTTTTTGTGTGCGGAAGGATATTAGAGTAATTCAGAACTTATGCTACGAGTAAACCGCTTGCATACAGATAATAAAAAATAACACAAAAATAAAAAGGACGTGGCTCCTCATCGGATTTATTATTAAAGGTGAAGAAATCCAGCGAGCATTTAGAAGTAATCATTGTTGGAAATTACAATCTTAACATTGCATATGCAGATGATACAGTGTAGATAGTCAGTTATATAGATGACTGACGAGGCATATTTCTTTCTCCGGGAGACTAGTTGCCATCCAAGAACCCGTCCTGCTATTTAATCGTTTGGGAGTAGAAGAAGGGTATTAGCACGTAAGTGAATGTAATGGATTCGACGGGAATTCGAACTCGGCTCTCCGATTCCTCAATCCGAGCCGTTATCCATTACTCCACCGTGCCTCCTGAAAGAGCTCAGTACACATATCAGTCAGTTATGTGCCATGCATGATACTTAGGCTATCATATATCTTTAGATACATGACTGATGAGGCAGTAGCAGTAGGTTGCCATTTCTTTCTGCGGTAGACCAGTTGCCATCCAAGGCTATAGAACCCGGTCTGTCCTGCTATTTATTCATGCTGGGGAGAGAAGAAGAGGATTCATACCTTTCCCAAGGTTATTAGCACGTTAGTGAATGTAATGGATTCGAATGGAATTCGAACTCGGCTCTCCGATTCCTCAATCCGAGCCGCTATCCATGACTACACCGTGCCTCCAGACACACAAAAAAGATATTTTACAGAAAATTCTACAGTAGGCATGGGTAACGTTTTTTTCGAATCGCATGATCTATGGTTCATCATAAAAAAAATTCCACTTCATGTCAGAGGAAAACATTAGTCCGAGAAGGCGCAATTTAGTCACTCCCCTGAAGGTTAGCATCAGCCATGCTGATGGATGACAAAAAAAAAGTTTCTTTCAGACGATTAAAAGAAAGCAGTTTCGGTTTGGAAACGTCAAAAATAACAAACCATTTCTTGCTCCAGTTAACAACAGATCGAGGGTTTGTCTATATTTCTGAGATGAGGTATTATGTACATTATTTAAATTATTCGGACTATTGTCCTCATTTTTGTCGCCATATTTATCACAACGTTTTGGCCGTTGTACGCTCCGGCCTTCTTCAGTTAGTTAGAATGTCGAACTGAACCCTTTATTTCGCTCACTGGGGTAGACTGTTCTAGTTCCATGTGCCATGTTTGATGGATGTCAGTTATCAGTTATCTCCTGTTATTTTTCCCTCTGAAAGTTCTCCACTGTCTTAGCCGGGTATTGAACTCGCACTCTTTGAGTTCTGTCACTGGATCTAACCAACGCCTTTATCAACTGTGCCATGTGTCCGTTGTGATAAATATGGCGACAAAGATGAGGGCAATAGTCCGAATAATGTAAATAATGTAGAGCGTGGGTTATTTTTTTAGATCAGTTGCTAATTTAACCTTATCAAACTGATCAGACTTACTATTAAGACAGGAGTAAATAGTTTTGTTTTGTTCTCTAAAATCATTTCACTCCAAGCAAGGCAGGAATTCCATTAGAACACGGGGGTAGGGGTACAGGGAGTGAAAGTGAGAGAAAAGACACTGTATAGGAAGGATTGAGGAAAGGACAAAAGATGAACGGAATTCAAGAAGATAGTCGATGACGATTGACGTTGCATTTGAATTTTTGAAGATTGTACTTATCAGGGAAGCAAGTAAACGGGCGAGAAGTGCGAGAAAAGAAACTGTTGGAGTAGAAGTGGCGGTTGCATTTAACATTCAAAATTCCAATGTATATCACCTGAAGAGGGCCGGAGCGTACAACGGGCAAAACCTCGTGAATATGACAAGAAAATGAGGACAAGAGTCCGAACAATGTAAATAGTGTAAATAGTAACAATACATCATTTCAGAAATACAGACAGATCCTGAAGAAGGTCGGGGCTTTACATCGACCGGAACGTCGTGAATATGCCAACAAAGATGAGGGCAACAATCCGAACTATGTAAATAGTGTAAATAATTAAAATACCTCATTTCGGAAATATAGACAGATCCTGAAAAAGGCCGAAACGTTGTGAATAAGTCAATAAGGATGAGGATAACAGTCTGAAGAATGTAAATATTGTAAATAGTTACAATACCTCATTTCAGAAATATAGACAGCTGTGAAGAAGAAGAAGAAGAAGAAGAAGAAGAAGAAGAAGAAGAAGAAGAAGAAGAAGAAAGACGACGACGACGACGACGACGACGACGACGACTTGGGTTTCAACTATGGACTGTTTATTCTCTTTTTTGTAGTGACTGTAATGAAATAAATATCTCAACATCTCTTCGGTATGTCGCTTTTCTTTCTTTTTCTTTTTTTTTTTTTTTTTGGTTCAGAAGAGATTAAGTTAAGTGTATTCATCGTATTCATGGTCGAGCTTAAGTCACTC